CACTCCCTCCTAATCCTCCACCATTTAGTAATAGTTTTCAGAGACTATCAGCATGCTGTTTTTGCAGCTTATATAAAACACTGTAAAGACGACTAGACTTTTAGAAACACACGGGTCTTGACCAACCCCACCCAAAGTCGAGGACTGCTCCTTTCCTTCCCGACTGGATAACAAGGGAGGAATTTCAGGAAGTGTGTTTCAATACAGGATGTACATTTTCAGCACATTGTTGTCTAAGAACATGTTTGTCTGTATTCGTAGAAGTTGCCGTCAGCACATTAGATGAGATATTTTCTCAAAAAAGTTGGGAAAAAAAATCATTGTTAGCAATTTGAATTGGCTGTTGAATGAGATATTAATGAAAGATTAAAAGGACAATACATTATTACAAATTTTAGCATAGCAGAGGGTTTGGCTATTACAGGTTTGCTTTTTTTGTGCAGATTGTTTAGTTTGGCTGTTGTATAATATCTTCCATTTGATCATTTATTGTACCTGAGGGATGTATAGAGAAGCCCTGAGGAGACCCCTGAGTTTTAGTTTTGTATCAGCACTCTTCTTTGTGTCCCTCTGTCAATCACAGATGTCCTGTAGATTGAATCATCCTGTTGTCAGATTCAGGTCAATCAGTAAGTAGGCAATAAAACTCTCATCATGATTACATAAAGATAGAATTGCTGGTCATCTTCAGTAATATCAGGAGGATGTGGCTGCGATTAGTCTTTGTTTTAAGCTGCAGATTGTTTCCCTTTTATTTCCATTGTATAATTTTTAAGGTAATTTATCACAAAGAAGAATCCTTATTTTCCAATCAACTTATTACTGCCCGATACGCTGTGTAGCTTTTATGCAACTATGGAACTATATTTAATGTGGGTTTGGGAAATCTGCCATCTGTCATCAAAAGTACATTAACTCCATTTGACAGCAGATCTTTATTTGTGATCTCTGCTCTATGCCAGACATGGTTTTTGTTCCATGAGCATTATGAGCTATAAATACTTGACTGAGTTAGAATGTCCCGTAGTACAGAAGCCACCGTTAGTATCTGATGAATGAGTGAATGAGCTTGGCCTAATTTTACACGTACAGATGCATGAGCTCAAACCTTGTCATTGGCAATGCTCTTGTGTCTTCCTGTGGTATCTTGATTTGTAAGCTATGGTATCGGTATGTTAACTCATTTTCACTGATTCAGGGAAACCACTGACAAAAATGTGCACGTCAGGACAATATGAGATAAACAGACATTGACTAGAGGGGAAAATGTGTTAAAGAGTGGAGAGATGGAGGAGAGAGAGCAGCATCCCCCAGAAAAATGTGTCTGAGGTCTGTCAGTGTGGACTCACTGTGGTATTTTTGTAAAGAAATATAGCATTACGCTGTCTAAAGGGCTTTTACATAGTTTTAAAAAAACAAAGTTTGGATTTAGGACCATTAGTCTGACAAAACAGTCATTTGGAGATGTCACCTTCAACTCTTAGAACGTGATAAACTTTACTGTTTACTGCCATTTCATAGACTAAATGACTAATCGAGAAAATAATTAGTACTCATATTCCTACTTTTGCGGAGATTTGTTTCAGTTTCCACAGAACATTTAGAGTTTTTACATCTCTTGGAACATGGAAATGGACACACAGATGTTACCATCAGTTGAGATGACTATATTTTCCTCCTGAAATTTCAGTACCAGCTCATATGAAGGATCATGAATTTCAAACAAACCTCTCACCTTTGGATATTTGGCAAATAAAACCACTTTGTATGGAAACGGCAGACTCCTTACCTTGTTTTATGAGACATTTGAGGCTTGTTGTGAAATAGTAGCCCGCTAACAACATTCTAACGCTTCTTCCTCATTCTCTCTTTAACGCCTGTTATAAGTCCTACCCTACCCTTATAAGCCTCTGAACTACCACCGCAAAGTGGGGTTTTATTGCTTCTTGGATTTCCATCTCCTATCGAAGTATTAAACTTGAGAACTTGTTTACCCTTTGATGCTCTGTGATGTGTTAAGAACAGAATGATCACCCTCTGTGACACTAGTATTAACACCTAGGCAACAGGTCTGGATATTATTAGTCCCACATCCAGAGGAAACGGCTTCTCTCCTCAATTAAGACCTTATCTCATAAATCTTAACCTTCTGCCTGTTGTCACTTTTCAGACCTAAATCTACATATAAACAGGCATAATTGTGTCTGAGTGTTTCACAAGTAATGTTTTCACATTGTTTGTGCATGTCGAGACTTTTTTATGCTTTTAAAAATATTCCTCTGGTGCCCTAATAGCTGAGTGGTTTCAGTGATGTGCCATATACATGTTTCATGCTAAACGTCGGCAATTTGAGTATAGTTGCCGACATTTGCCGTAGGTGTCCTGCTTCTCTCTGTCTCTGCCTCACCTGTCTTCTACCTCTCTGCATCTCATTGACTAAAAGGGCAAAAAAATATATAAATATGAAAAAAAAACTCATACTACTGTCCTATATCTAGGTGTACCGTCAGGACTGCGAGACGTTTGGCATGGTGGTGAAGATGCTTGTGGCTAAAGACCCCAACCTCGAGAAGCAGCTGCAGGTTCCTCTCAGGGAGAACCTTGGGGAGATCCGTGAGCGTTGCCTGGAGGATCTCAAGCATTTTATCAGCGAGCTGGATGAGGTGGTTTGCCAACCTGAACCGTCCATCATTGACTCAACCACTCCCTCTATGTCCATGGCAGGTCATAAACTTTCAAAGACAGGAGTAAATCACAGCTCCTCTTTCTGACACATTAGTCTGATCTGCTCCATTAATGTGAGATTGAGCATGGTAAGATTGGCTGCTAAACATGATGGATATCTTGTTCACATTGTGGATTGCTGGAATGAAGCTATTCTACAGCACTGCAACCTAAAGACCAACTGAGCATGGAGAGAGGATGCAGTGGTGCACAGTGTGTTGAGGTGAACAGTGTTAGTTCTCAACAGATCATTTTAACTGAAAGTTGTTAAATATAAAAATATTCTTAATATTCTTAAAAGGTGTTTTTCTGTCAAATATTGGCCCCCCAAAAAAATTCAGTTTAAAAGCTACCAGCCTCATCACATTGAAAATGGTTGTTGTAGGTTCTTGTTTAACCTTTTTTATTATAAAAATGTTGATTTAAATGGTCCTTATCGCATTTATCCAAAAGAATAGCCAGATAAAACAATGGTTTTGTTTAGTATTTTCAGCTATGTTGATTTTGTAGCAGTCAGATATATGACTTGGTGCTGCTAAATTTATAACAGTTCACATTATTCTGTAAATTTGTACTGCAGTTTGGTTCCCCTTTGAGGTCTCTGAAGGTTATAGTAAACATGATTTCTGTTTTCAAACTTTGTTTATTGTGATCTGTTACCGGAGTTTACATATGTAAATATGCCATCCAAATTGTAGAGAAAAATTTAAGCATCATTTTACTGGCAGTGCATGTATTAGTCAGACATGCATGTATTTTAGTATGTTGTTTCTCAACTACAATCAACGTGCCTTACTTTAAAATTTAGGTGCATCCAGTCTTCATAAGGATTTTGTATAAATACAAAGCAGCTTTAAGGTGTATATATTGGCAAAGTAAAGTTTTAGCAGTTTTTGATTTTTAAAAGAAAAATGCCATAAAGTCTTTGCATCTCATTGTGAAACACTGCTGCAGTCAGTGTTACAAACTGTTTTTTGATCATGAAATAATGTCGCAACCCAGGAACAGAACAATCTTTTTTTAAAGCTTGGAAGAAAATACATTTATTACAAGCATCTTTACATCACAAAGCATTTATTTGATTATGGTAGAGCAAAGGTCGTGAACAGATGTGCTGAATATGGAAAATGCAAATGTCACTGTCGTTTGTGCACCAATAATTACCATTATGGAATATATGTTATAGACATTGTTACAGATTAATGTGGCACTTTACTGCGAAGAACATAGTTTATGAAGTGGCACCTTCTTTGTTGTTTCTTATAAAATATTAGCAAGGTCTGTTTATCATTACAACTGTTTTTTTATATCACACACTTGAAAAGAAACTTCTTAAAACCATGGATACAAAAATACCAGTATTAAAATCTTAACTTAGTATATACATTATCATTTTGTATTATGCATTAAATAAGTATTTGGGTAGTACCTATTTTCTACTTTAACTTTCAACCTCTGTGTACAATAGTGTTGCCATTTTAATGCACACAAAGATATTGCTGCCAAACATTGAACATTTTAAAAACTTAATGGGAGATGCTGAAATAGAAGGAAAAGGTTTGTCCGCTGTTCATACAAACTGCATGATTTTGTAATGACTGTCTAGAGAATGGCTTCCAAATTTACTGGTCCAAACACTGTATTGGTGATAAAACTGAACTAGTATCTAGGTCAAATTTGCTTATGCACAGAAAACCGATTTTCTCACTGTATGTTGCACAGATCCAGTCTTTGCTCTCAGGTTTTAATTAAATTTTTTTTCTATCAGTATATTTCTGACCCTAAAATATGATATGTATTTTGACTGTTGGCCATCTGCCTTATATTAGGGCATAATGAACAGTTTGCACATGCAAAGTTTTAAACTGCTTCCCTATTGGCAGTTTTGATCTGTGTAAACCATCATATAATCAGAAAATGTGAGTATTGCTTAGTGTAGTGAAGATTATAATGCAAATACACTCTGAACTGTTAAGAGATGATACAGTTTTTAGAGTGGTGGCTCTTTTTACGACCAGTCTGTGAGCCATGACTCTGGGAAGAAAGGGCTGTAACCCTAGTTGGGTAGTCCTCAGCGTAGTAGCGCCCAGCAACTCGAGGCTGAGGGATTGGCTGGCCCAGGAAGTAGCCCTCCTCCTCAGAGTCTGATGATGAGGAAGAGCAAGTAGAGCACCAATCTTCTTCATCTCTGTAGAGGCCCGTGAAATGCTTAGCTTGTGGATCTCCTTGCCTTAAGTCCCGAAGCATATAGTCAGGTCGGGTTTGGGAGTAGGCCACGGGCAGTCTATGTAAGGGATGCTGTAAGAGCATGGCACCACATGGAGGGTTTACTGGAACCTGCTGCTGGGGCTTATACAGCCTCTCTGCTTTCTCTGAAGGCACCATGTGAAGTGCGTTGTCTGAGCGGGTTTTGCGGCTCCTGTGATGCTGGCCTTGCCGGTGGTTATGATGCCTGTTTTGCCCATGGTGGCTCGTTGGGCGGCTTTTTTCTTTGCTTATATCTGGGCAGTATGCCCTCCGCTGTGGCTTCTCACTCATAGGATGCTTTCTGATATTGACACCAAACCCATCATTATATCCATTGTCCACAGTGTCTTCTGAGAACTTTACCATCTGAGGAGGCCTGGATTGGGACTTGCTCCTCCTCAGAGCTGGGGCATGGACAAAGGAGGGAGGGAGACCTTCCGAATGTGGGGACAATGAAAGTAGTCTTCCTGGTGTGCCTCCCCTTGTTGCCAAAACTGCCTCCTCATATTCCTTCTCCATGTTAAGGTTCAAAGAGTTGTTACTGTGGTGAAGATGAGAGGAATTAAAGGTTCCCATATTACTCATCTTCTCACAGTCATCTGCCACCAAGGGATTCTGCATGGCAAAAGTGTAGACTATAGGTCTGTCTGTGCCATCACCATCCACTGATGCACCTAAAATGATCAACCAGGACATACACGTTTTGAACAGCTGTTTGATATAAAAAGAACACTTTTTTTGGCTGAATCCATGTAAACAGTAGTTTCCTTACCAGTGATGTTTGAGAGTGCAAGAGAGTCCATGGAGTCTCCAACACCTTGCTCAGCTTTCCTCACCTCATCTGCAATACACTCTAGAGAGTCTTCATACCACTGTCTGGTGTCCAGCCACAAAGCCTGCCTTGCTGTGCTAGGTTGGTCATGATCCTGCTCCAACTCCAGCTCTTGGATCTTTCTGGTACTTGCAGGGCCTGGATGACTCCCATAGGCAGAGTCTCCCAGCCCATCCTGTGACTGGGCCCAGTACAATTTAGGCAGGTCCTTCTTGCTCATCAGTCCAGGGCTGTTGGCTCGGGATTGACTGGAAGTCTGGCTTGGGGTGGAGCTGGCAGGGGTGAGAGGGGAGGCAGTAACTCTTGTGGTTGTGGTGTCAGGTTTTAGCCAAGGGTCAGAGATACTTATTAGCTTGTTTCTGTCACTGTTAGGGGTGGGAGATTTTAAGGATGGCTGCTGAAGTTGCCGTAACATCCCACAGTCACCGAACTTGAGCAGAAGCTGAGTCATATAGTCCTCATGCTGGGCCCACTCTTGTGGATCCTCCTCTCCCCCAGCATCCTGCTCCTCCCGATCCCTCCAGAATCTTTCCTCCTCCAGGCCAAGACAAGACAGTTTTTGCCCTACAACATCAATATCACCATCTGTATCTCCATCACGCTCTCCATCCCCAAACTTGTGCTCAAATGAGGGGACAGTGGCAGGGGGATA